TAATTTGATATAGCACGATTAAAGAGTATTTGAATGGAAATTGTTCATGATTATTCTGTATAGATAATTCTATTTCTTGGTGGTTTGTCGAAACCGTTTTTATAAACATGCGTTTGCCAAGATCATGGGTGGGTGTGAGGATGGGCAACCTTCAATTCCAATGGATTATCATTATTTTCCAGATTAGATCTACGGTTTTGAGAGATTGGTTTCAAAGTTCATGTTGATTCGCTCTAATTCGGTCTAAAAGAACGATTGATTGTGGTTTACCCAAGGTGCTGGGGAAGCCTTGGTTGGGTTCGAATTAGCAGTTTTAAAAAATGGTAATAGTTAGTATGTTTTTCGCCATGCATAGTATATATGTAGATGGATAATGATTGAGCGATTGAAATGTTCGATACATAGATATATACATCTGCACAGAGATCCTGCTGATTTTTTTCATGGTGTCACAGATTTTCATGTTTTTTAAGTGCAAAATATTAATCAAACAAAGGAGAAATGTAGATTATTGAGCCAAAGTTGGGATGGGTCCTCAAAGATGATGACGGAGGGTGAATGAGGCGGCCGTTTGAATGTTAGCCAATGAAGAAGCGGTGGTTACTTGATTAGTGACACAATGTGACACATTGATTCATTCGAATTGGAACACTCAATTCAGTTGAGTGAGGGTGTATTAATAACTAATAATTACTGTATTATTAAAAGGTGGCCCTTTCCATATTGATTTTGTTTGCTGGACTACGTACGTTAGCCTCTTGTAAATCCACATCATGAAAGTTGTTTCCTGGCAAAATAGCATTGGCAGGGGACTTCGGATCTTGCAGATCTCAACAAATTCATCAACCTCAAGGCCTTCATTTCCCCAGTTGCCCCCCATTTGCCCATCGCAACAGCCCAAGGAGCTGATGGACCAACATGGCATCGGCACCGATGCTTCCATCCCTCAGCACATTCAGACCATCCAGGATCGTCGCTACGTCCAGCTGGTCGACGGCCAAGGGCAGCCCATCGTTGCAACGCATCGGGGTGGCCCCCAGGGCCCCAAGGGCCCCAAGGGCCAACGTGCACCGAAACGAGCACCGGGCAGATTCTTGGTGCCCACTGCGAGAGGTCTAGCGTTGGTGAGAGGTCACTGGGAAAATGATGAGTCCAATTTTTTTTGGGCGATCGATTTTTTTTGCCTGAGATTGATTCACTGCATGTTCCACTAAGAGTTAGACTACTATAGTTGTGTTTTTTTACAGGGAATCATAGACGTTGTTATGCATGGGGATTCTTTAGTTGATCCCTCCAGTGATGTTTCATGGATGATCTGTATAGCGATTTCATGGCTGAGGAACCCCACAAATGGTAATGATCAAATCATCGCACATCATATCGTATTTGGGATATAATGATAATCAATGATAATCAATCATCATCATAATTTATAATGATCATCATGATTATTATCATCATCATCATCAGAAATAATATGAAATAATAATTATTCTATAAATGATCACAAATGATTATGATTCATAGTGCAAAGAATATTGTCAATTATGACCTTGAATCAGGTTTTGATTTTATGCAGCAAGATATCAAGATCAAGAAAAATCAATAATTGATTGATGATTAAAAATATGTCATAGCAACGCCCCAAAAAGGTAGAGGAGAGAGGAGAGATTTATCACTATTGACTATTTGACTAGGACTTGACAGTTCTATATATCTTATGTTTGGGGTTTCTGTATGTCACTCAAAGCCTCAAAGCCCCCAACCCCAAGGTCTCTCCACCTGCGACGCCACTCTCTGTGAGCCGGAAGTTCGCGCCCTCATCGAGCGCGAGTGCGCCATGGTCGCCACTGCCGAGCTGACATCAGCGGAGGTCCTGCGGCGCAATGTGGCGCTATTCCAGGGGAAGTTTCAGCGCGTGGCTGGAGCCATGAATGAAGTGCGCAACACAGCTGCAAGATGAATCAAGATAAGGGAACAATGTTGGGTACAATTATTCCATGTTATTTCCCGGTGTTGTTTCATGTGCTTTCCAGATTTGGTCGGAAAACCCAACACTTTAACGGGGAAAAAAGATGAAAAAAGCAAACGGTGGGTGTCCTGCAAAGTGTCCCTTAACGGACCAATCCATGGATGTTTGACAATGCCATAGTCCGCTCTCAGGCAGCTTCTTCGAAACCGCGCCTAACGCCCAAAGCGGCGAAGCAAAGAACGCGGCGAAAGTCATGGCAGCTGGGGATGGTGGAAGCAGGGATATGATAAACGAAAATCATGTGATGGCGATGCTGTTTTTATTGTTCCGTATTGTTGTTTTTTGACCTCATTTATAGTATGTTTTCTATTTTATTTCACGAGTTAAGTTATCTATGTTTTAATTATCTACTATTAGGTGTTGACGTTCTCTGATCAGGATTATGGTTCTGATGCCGCAGGCCGCAAGCGCAGTGACCAACACTGGCTCAGCCTTGGCAGTGGGGACGCCAAGATCTACAGTAAGTGGCAGATGAAGTGTTGAGATGATTCGAGATGGGAATTTGAGTGATGGTAGCAATCTAGAAGTATTATGAGTGGGGATTTAACAATATTATAATATGTCATTATTTAGTTTGTACAATTTCATATCATTTCTATATATTTATATTATATGTGTATATATTTATATTATATGTGTATATATGTATATTATATGTGTATATTATATATATTACATATAATATATATATATAATACATATATATTACATATATTATATTATAATATATATATATTATACATATATATTACATATATTATATTATATTATATATATATATTATACATGTATATTGTATATACATATGTTGCCAGTCTGCAGGGAATTCACATGATTTTTCAGAAAAATGATTGGGTTAAGATGCCAAATTCAACTGCAGTGAATGGTTATTTTTTGCTGGGTATGGGTCGAAAGTTCAATGCCGGAGGGGACCACAGATTTTGGCTGCTTATGTTTACTATCCTCAACGACATCTGATTTTTTGCGTACCCAAGGTTGACCCATACCCACTGTGTTGGGATGTTCGTGCCCTTCATTGTTTCGGGATCCAGCTTTGGTACCTGTCCAGAGTCATGAAACTTCGTAGGGAGAAAGAACAGTTCGGTATTAAATAGCGGATTTGAATTGTACTTCTGTCAATCCTGCATCATTTTACCATCACTTTTGGTCTTAATGCCATCCAACAATTCGTCAGAGGAACCAAGATGTTGGTCCTGTAACCCGGCTCAGTATCGACCACTTTTGTCAGACACCATAAATAGCTATACTATAGGATGAGGTAGTGCGTCAACAACTCCAAGTCAACTAACCCTTGGCATGGAAATTTGGAAATTATGTGGTTTGATATTTAAAAATATATTCTAACTTGACTGATGTTGAATGGTGCTGAATGTAGAGTTCAAAGCTTCATGTCCATAGCATATTTAGTTTCCCGCACGAAGGATATATCTTATAATGAAACCAGCCCCAGGCGCGGTTGAAAGCCTTCACTGGCTTGGGTATGTTCAAGAAGGCCCTGGGTATCCAGGGATGGTGAACAGCTGTGACTGTGATTCTGCTCAGTGAAGGGTGATGCAAAGTTGGACAATAGATTCAACTGACAATAACGAATATATATGTATGTATATATGTATTATGTATATATATTTATGTATATGTATATGTATCTGTATTTGTATATGTACGTGTATGCGTATGTGTATGTATATGTGTATGTATGTATGTATGGATAGATTTGGATATTTATACACAACATGTATATATATATAATCATATATATATATAGATATGGGAAAAAGGGATGCAATTTGATTCACATAGGGCTGAAACTTTCTTTGATGGACCAAAAGAAGGTGATTGTCACTACTTGATTTCTCATGACGATGTCAGCAATTCTCTGTGCTTGGTGAGATGTCCTGTTGCACTGGTTGTGACTCTTGGTTGTCGTCATATGTCATTTGTTTGACCTGGCACCGTCTTCATTACAATATCATCCCATGATTTTGGTGTAAGAATTTCATCAAAAACTTGTTGGTTGCATTCCATCATCCACCGAATTCAATAGTCGCTCAACACAAGATGGGGCCAGGATGAATCAAAGGATGAAGCCAAGCCGGAGGGTGGAGAAGAGGGGAAGGCCTAGGGAAGCGCTGGAAGGGTCAATGTTGGTCAATTTTTGATGCGAATCTTGAAGATCTGATCATTTCCAAACCAATCGGTGGTTTTACACTCTGGTTATTCAACGAAGTTATGGAAAATCACAGTTTCTTTGTTTCATTTTGTTTCATGGCTTTCAGAAAATCTACCTCCACGATAGCCGCAGGCAGCAGCTTCCACAGACGAAGTGAAAGTTGAGGCCAGTTGAGCCCCGGATCTTTGTCATCGCTTGGGAAATGATGGTTAACTCAACAAGACGCGATGCCCATGAAGCAATTGATGAGGAAATGAATGAGCAAACCTGCTGAGAAAATAAAACATCGGGTGGCCTCCGTGATTTGCGTTTGATCCAAAAGAACACCCCCTTTTTCACATCACACTGGATGATGGATGACCTTGCCAGATTTGATTCTTCCCGGTGGATTCCTGACCAGTCTTGGGTTCCACATATTAGATAGATTGCATGTACCCATGATGTTGCGATGATGATTCCAACGCAGGCATATGTTCGAAGATCCGGAATGACCCATGATGTTTGGCTACTGAAATGCAGTATGAAATGGGCTTCCCAACCAATCCCGGCAAATGTTAACATAGACATAGTTGAAATGGTGTTCCCATCATTTTCACTCTAATTTCCCAACCAATACCATCCCTTAATCAAACGTGGCAATGGAAAATCACCCATTTAGATCGGGGATTTCCCAGCCACGTGGCTGATGAGCGGAGGTGAAGCCATGTTTCAGGAAAAACCAGAGGGATCATAAGTCCCGACTCCTGGATCCCATTTATAAGTGGTTAAGCCATGTTGAGCCATGTTAAGCCCACAAACACTCACATCCAGTCCATTGAATCCATCATTTTCATTCACTTTCCTATATATTTTTCAGTGCTAACATCCCCACTTTCATCTTCACTTTTCCATGGTACTTGAGGAGTCCAGTTGGGTTGTAACCCCACGATTTTTCCAAGTATATTATAACATATGATCTTCAACAGACAAATTCCTCCAACCCATTATTATAACATATAGTATAACATATAGTATAACATAGTATAACTAACTATCCCATTAGGATCCTGACACTTCCAATTCCTAATATCCTGGATTATCTTTTTTTTAAACTAACTAACACTTACTGTTCCTGGGGTCCTCCAACTAGTCCCTTCAGGAGCCGCAGCCAGAAACAGCCGAGCCGGCCGCGGCACCGGCTCCGGCACCGGCTCCGGCCGCTCCGAAGGCTGCTCCGAAGGCGCACAGACGGGGTGGGGTTTGCGTTGCCAAGGCGGAGTAAACCCGATATTCAGGAATTAGTGTATTTATAATTTAATATATTATATTGTCTTGTAGCAATTCGTAATCTTGTATCATTATATAAATATATGTATACATATATTATACAATATATTACTATGTTGGAAAAAAATAGAGCACAGCACCAAGATTAAACAACAACGCACATACCCTGAACCTGCTGGATTTGGCTTGAGTGCTGTCGGTGGATATGCCTCACTAGTGGAGCCCATAGATGATGGGCCGGGAAACAACCACATATCCTGAACTCGCCAGGTGGCTCTTAGATTTTACTTGTAAGGCCTACTATACAGACATCCCAACTTATGTCAAGAATTGACACATTTCAAAGGATTGGTTTATGGCATTATGGAAGATTTTACAGGAAACCATTGCTTTTAGGGCCATTTGAAGCCCAAAAATATGGAATCTTTCGGCCGCCAGAGGCGGGTGAAACTGGCCCAGAGGACGGCGGGGACGGATGGGGTTGTCGGAACAGGGGTGGAGGGCGATAACATGAAATAACTATGGTAATGAGCCTCAGAAGTTGGGATAACTCCCATAAGTATGGTGAAATCATGTGAAATCCACGAATGGTCGGGAACTGCACTTGACCATTGGATACAGTGGTTGTTGACCAAGCAATGACTGCTCACACGGCTCCCGAGGTGGCCATGCCAAGTTGATCCACAGCCCAGGAGCCCAGGGAATACTGAGACGCAGCATCCGCGTCCGCAGCGTCGAGATGACGTGAAACAAACAAATGCAGCGCGGGAGGAAGGGCTGGAACAGCAACATGGCCAAAAATCGATAGTTCATGGGTGAATGGGTGAAAAATCGACAAAATGTCTGCGGATTTCGATCTCCCAAGTCTGATCGGGTTGGTACCTGGGTCACAATTGCGGTACCTGTGGGTGTACCCAAACGTATTGAAAGCACTGGGTACTTTACGGTACTTCCTGTAGGTCACTATAGAGGTTACCCTCCAGTAATCGCAGCTAGCGCTGAAATCTCAGTTCGAACTATACCAATTGATTATACCATCATCTATAAAAGGTATATCTATAGTTACAATAATGAAATATTCATGGGATATTCATGTTGATTATACCACATTATAGATACCATTGATCTTACTTTTCCTGTCCATTTTTCCACCTCTACCGCCAGGCCGACCTCCGAAGCTGTCTCCGGAAGCGTTTCTTGGGCGAAGAAACGGGGCCTGGGAGCTGGGAAACATGGGGATGGGTCAAAACTAGTCAAAACCTATGAATTTACATGAATTTACCATATGACTGGGGGAATAACCATCCATTAACCGGCTAAAATACTAGGGAGCGTATCAGGGTTTTGACCCATGGGTTTGTTTCAAAATAGGGCACCCTGTTGAAATCCAGTGTTGATCACGGTTTTCCAACTTAAAACATGCACTTAAAATGGTGTATAACAATATTCCCAACGATTTTAATGACAATCCCATATCTTACCTTCCTTCCAGAGGATTGGAAGAAGTAGATTGGCCTGGGTTCATTGCGCAGACAGGCTTAGAACCTTCGTGTTTTTGTAAGATCCAGCATAGATCAACATGTCATATGTTTCCAAGAATGGTTTGCAGGGATAAGTTATAGCAGGCACCCAAATTGGAGGTTAAGATCTAAAACCATGGTTTCCTGTAGATATTTCCCTAACATTAACAAATTGTAAATCCTGAGTTAATCACCATTTCTGCCATTCAAATCCCAATTTGTGTTGCTTAGAAATCTCAAAGATTCCCTTTGGCCCGGCCATTTTGAGCCTGGCCTCGCCGAACCGCAGCCAGGAAGGAGTCGGATGCCACTGAGATCCAACAAAGTACTGATCTAGCTGTTTTGCCAACAAGAGCGAACTATTGGGAACCTTTGTAGATACGTACAGAAACATGTTTATAATCATATATATATACATATTGAATATGTTAAATAGTTTATTTATATCAGATATAAAAATATACAGATATATACAATATCTTAATATACATTCTCAGAATATATCTATATATATATATATTATTTGTTCATAGAACTATATTATTTATATATACACATCATTGTGAGCTCGCCACATTCCGAGATTCGCAGCCATGGCCTGGGGCAACCAGGAAATGGATTGGGCTTTAGCGAAGCCTCGTCTCCAGCCACCAAACGAGCTGCCACTGACTTTGGAGAAGGTGAAGGAGATGAGAAACTGGTCGGGGCTGATATGTGCTGATTTTATCTGATTTTGAAATTTTGAGATATGTTGAGTTTGTCCAAAAATATTTCAATGGCATCCAATGTCCATGAACATATGAAAAAATGATGCCATTTCAACCCATTTGTTTTTTTCCACGGAAGTTCCAGACAGACCCTGACCCAGTTTAATCTTCCCTCCCTGAAATGATTGAAAATACGAATGATGATCGACTTTCTGAATTGGTATTATATATTATATATATACACACATACACACAGTAATCCCCCTTGATTTACTTATGTCATTCCCGAAATGAAATGATCCCAATCAGCTTCATATTTTTCTGAGAGGGTGGCTAAACCACTGATGAGGAGAGAATCAGGAGTACTTCTCGCGGGAGAAGAACCATGAAATTCTCATGAGTTCTTGGGAAACGCTGCTGAAACGGCTGAAGGATCAGCGTGGTGGTGTGGTGCGTGTCGATATTACCTGCAGTCGTCCTTGGCCAAAGATGGTTGCTGGAGCAGCAGACAAAGCCCGAAGCAAGCTGGTTGGTGCTGGGATCACAGAATGCTTTATGGAAATAAGCGATAGCTGCAAGAATGCCCGCACCGATACGGCCCAGCCATTCTTTGTGCTGACTCATGAAGATGGCTGGCAAGTAATGTATCACCCAAAAAAGAAGAAAGAAGGCTTGCTAGCTTTCCGGCTTCGTGATGATCCTCATGGGGATCTCCGATTTGACGAAGCCGAGCCTGATAAGGAGGATCGAACACTGGCTTTTGAACTCGCCGCCGAGGGGAAGGTGAAGAGCATCGCAGCCAAGATGCGAGATTTTCAAAAAAGTCGCAGGCCAAATGGCTGGAAAGCGGATGATTTTGAAATTGGACCCAACGTGCCTTGGATTTGCAGATTGGTTGCACACATGGACAGTCAACAGTGATGATTGGGGGAATCAGCTAGAATCAGCTAGAAATTGAAGAGTTGTGGGTTTGGCCCCAATATCCAGTGGATTTGGATGTTTGGATGTGTTTTCCTAAATTGTTTGTTCGCGTGTTGGGACATGTTGGGAATGTTCCTTCTGTATCAGACCACGAAGCCATAGCACTATGTCATTGCGATCCGTTCTGAAATAAATTTTCGATGGTGATCATCCGGTTCGGAACAACCCAAATGCGTGCAACGCAGCGCATAGATTAAGATGAGTGTTTGCACTCGGGAGGACTCCTCCCCCGCAACATTTTAGCATCTATCCATCAGCAATATATGTATATAAATATATAATGATATATATATAATAACTATAATAATGTTGGCTGCACAATACTAAATCCCCCCTAAATAAAATATTTTTGTTGTCAGCATTCCAATAGTAATTTTTTGGAACCCGTTGGCTGGGATCATGATATGTATCTGATAGATTCTCCATGGTTTTGTTGGGTTTCTTATGGATTCTGAATGGATTTGGTTGGGTTTTGGGTTTCTGAAGTTCTTCTTGGAATCTGTCTGGACAAGGTCAGAACATGAGTTTTTTGGCAATACTAAAAGTAAATGGATCTAATTGACTTTTAGTATTGGAGAAAAATTGGAGTTGGGAAAAAAGTTTCCACTATTGCCATGTTGGGTCCACTATTGGCCATGCCCTCTGGACAAGGTCTGAACATGACTCTTTTGGCAATACTAAAAGTAAATGGAGCTAATTGACTTTTAGTATTGGAGATAAAACTGGAGTTGCGGAAAAAAGTTTCTACTATTGACAAGATATCACTATTGGTCAGACAACATTATATGATAAGAAACTAATATATATATATATACACCTACAAGTGGTTTGATGCATATTATTAGTAATATGCATATATATATATATAGATACACATATCTCATCATCTCTACCCAGTCAGCGCATCCAAGGTGTGGGCTTGGGTTCTGACCAAGGGCCTCAAGGATGAATTTTGGACATGGCTTGCCAACCCCACGAAGGCAGTCGATTCCCAAGAGCCTCCCAAGCCGTGGCGTGGCTCCTTGGAAGACCATGAGATCCAGTTGGACCTAGAAGGAGAAGAGGATGGCGTGCAAATCTGCAAGGCCATCACCATGCAAGGGGAAGATCTACCAGTGGCAGAGGCTTTGGACAGGATACGTATGGCAAACATTGGGCAGAAGGCGTCTATGGCAGTGAAGCCTGAACCTCCGGAAGAAGGTTTTTTAAAAGTCAAAGACCTGCTATATACGCAACGTTCATGCAGAGAAATATTCAAGAGCGGCCCCTATCGAGGCCGCAAACTTGAAGAGTGCACTGCGGGTTTGATAGCAGGGAAACTTGACCCAACCAGGACACAATGGCTGACCCTGGATGTGGTGAAGGACACGCAGGATGGAAAACTATGGTCAATTGACAATCGCCGGCTAAAGTGCCTCAAAGAGTACCAAAAGTATCTTGACCAGAGCGGTACCGATAAAACGGTCATGGTCAAAGCAAGAATACATCAGTGGACTGAAACGCACTGCAGGTTTCTCGATCATCTTGATACATGGTGCCACGGCAAAGACATCCGTGTTCGAAACGGAAAGAGGCCCAGACCAGATTGGGATTGACTTGGAAAGCATCCACCTGCCACCTGCAGTGTGAAATATAAAGGTACCTGTATGTGAGTGCTACCAAGAATGTAGGGTGCAAACCCACTCACATTTGTTTGGAGGTCCAGTTGCACTACGGTGGAAAGCCAGCAACTTCCAACGGCTCCACCATTTCTATCTTTACCATTCACCAGGCTCAGATCTTGCTGAAGAAAAGGCAGACAGCCTACTTTTCAGGTGGTATGGAGGTGATAGTTCACCTATTCACTGACAAATATTCGGAGCAATGGGGTGGTTCTTTCATAATTTTAGGTGTTGAGAACTGCCAACCTGTGGATTTTCTTGAGCAGAATGGGGGTGTTCTCAACGAACCTGAGAATCCTGTGGTTCATTTGTTTATGTAGTATAGCCACAAACTGGGGACCAAAGGCCCAAATCTTCAAACCCGGTCATCCTTTGGCTGAGGGATCACCTGCATAAATTCTCTAACATGTACCCTCCCGTACTTTAACACAGCTACGGAAAGTTGCCGATTTATAGATAATTTACCTATACAAAACTTTATGTTCGGGGAAGAGGTCCATCACTGTCGCTTTTTTTGGGGTGCTGTTTTTATAAGAATCTGAATCTGAGTTTCATGAATTTGCAGACTGACACTGTGGCGACTGGGTTGGCTTCGCTTGTGGTTTTTTTCGGCGTTTCGGAACACGAATACCAATAGTCGGGTGGCAAATTACATCGACCTCATCGGATCATGCAGAAACCCCCGGAAATGATGGGGTCAAGTTTCAGAAGAGTTACCCTCTGGTTATGACTAACATAGCCATGGTATAGATGGCCCATAGAAATAGATGGTTTACCTATTAAAAATGGTGATTTTCCATGGCTATGTTAAATAACCAGATGGTAGTAGCATCCACAACCACCAAGAACTCAGGTTTGGAATGTCAACGCTTGGCACTGGGAGGAGAAACCCATGACAGACTTCAGTGAGAAGCTTGGATGTTGTGACACTTGCCACAGTTGGCGAAGTGTCAGCACTTGCCAGGACCAGATTCATCCAGCCTTGGGTTGTAGACCGATATTTGCTATATGGATCATTGCGAGAGAGAGATAGACAACATTTTATGTCCTAATACGTCGCAATATACAATGTAGTAGTGTGGTTGTAAGTACATGTAGAATATGTAACATATAGCAATCTGCTTGGTGGTTTAAGATATGGCTTTGTCTGAAAATATGGTATCACAAAATGGGATGGCGTTTTCATGGTATGTCCCATCACAACGGCGTTATTTAATTTGATGGGTATACCCCTTTTTCAGACACACCCAGATATTCATTTATATGGCTCAAATTCCATTAATTAATAACCAACGTTTGATGATTAAATCCCTTTTGGTGGCGAAGTCCCTAGGATTGCCCACATTCGAAAATCTTCTATGTGAACATTGTGCAACATCAGATCAGAAGTTTCATATGGCCGAGGCATTAAGTGGCTGAGCCGGGAACTGCAGGGCTTGTCCTTGAAGATCTTGCTGGTAAACTCAGTGGGTTTTTCCGAAGGCATGTCGATCACCAGCTGAAAAAATCGACCTTACCTGACATGGTAAATCCAAGTAATTAACATCATTTGACCAGCAACAAATATGTTATTGTGATATGTTCTGAGGGATTGTTGCTAAGATTATTGAATGTTCACCGCATCTCATACTAACTTGCAAAAATTGGGAGTATCACTGATATCACCAGCAACAAGTGCTGACATTCTAGGTACCACTTGTGAAAATGTATAGGTTGTTAGTTCATTCCTGTTGCCATTTCAAGGGGCTGTATAATACTACTTACAGTACTCAGCTACATGTTTTGCAGGATATACAGATTGACAATGAGTATAAGGGTTGAAAATGAAGCAATTTATCTGAATGAGAAGCAGTGGACCCATCAGAAACCTGATGCATTTTGTTTCTGGCTTGTGGTTTTGGATATCCTACAAACATGGGATACAATCTGTTGCTAGACAGTGGTGGTGCCTTTCATTGGTTAATGTGTAAATCCCCAATCCTCTTGCCATCCTCTTTTCAATTTGGCATGGAACCCAAGAAGGACCATGTTTAGTGGTAAAATCAGCTTGGGGACCCCATTCTGGCGGTTCCATGTCAACTTTGGGTTTGTTTGAGAAGTAGGTGCCCCTGAATCAACCGGTAAATCATACTGTTCCCTATTGAAATGACAATGTGGAGGTTCAGAATGAACAAATCGCGTTTTTAGCTATCCATAACATTCCATAACTATCCCATGGAATCCTCAACTAATCATCATATTCCCGTGAAATGAATCCTACATATATTTTATGGTGGCCAAAATATCCCCCAAAATATCTATCCATCAAAGATTGCTCAAAAAAAATCCCAGCCCTCATCATATCCCATTGGCTGGTTACTCCGGTGAAGTCTTCATCGGAATCCCGCTGGTGAAACCCCAGTGTTTCACTCATCAATGGGATCCCTTTTTTTCAAATCCATTAGATCCCATCATTTTGTGTTCGATTTTTGCTGATAAATGATTGGTATATGTTGGTATAACCATTTTTTAAATGGAAAATATATGATATACAAACCATTTAATTATCAGCAAAAATCCATGGTAATAGTACCATGGTAATTGTACCATTATACCAACCATATGGTAAAGTCAGCCATGGTTTTTTCCCAGAATCTCAGCCACTTCCCATATGGAAATCTCCCGACGGAAATCTGCGAGAAATCCCCCAGGTCAGGCCTTGCGGAGCTGGAATTCCGAGATGTTCAGGCCCTTGCATGGAGGAATGTAATTTCTGAGATTTTAAATGACCAAGAAAAATGGGTTAATTATGATGAAGTTAGATGACGTATGATGAAATATGATGAAATATGATGAAATGGTGATTTAAGCAAGAAAAGTCCGTGGTTTTGATCGGATTTCTATCGGATTGTCATGGGAATATGGATGATTATTCCCAACAGCAGGGCCTGTTGGGTTTCAATCTCTAGGGCTGGGGCTGGCTCGCGGGGACTTGCAGCCTTCAAAATCCGGAATGGAACCCTGGAACCCTGGAACCCTGGAACCCTGGAACCCTGGAACCCTGGAACTTTGGAATCCTGGAAAATCTGGAACCCTGGAACCCTGGAACCTTGGAACCCCGGAACCCTGGAACCCTGGACCATGGAACCCTGGAACCCTGGAACCCTGGAACCTTGGAACCCTGAAACCTTGGAACCCCAGAACCCTGGAACCCCGGAACCCTGGAACCCTGAAACCCTGGAACCTTGGAACCCTGCGACCGTGGAACCCTGAAACCTTGGAACCTTGGCACCCTGGAACCCTCAAGGATTCTGGAACCCTGCAACCTTGGAACCCTGGAACCTTGGAATCCTGCAACCCTGCACACCTGGCACCCTGCTGGGATCCTGGAACCCTGAAACCCTGGAACCCTTGGAACCCTTGGAACCCTGGAAACCTTGGAACCCTGAAACCGTGGGACCCTGGTACCCTGGAACCCTGGAACCCTGGAACCCTGAAACCTTGGAACCCCGGAACCCTGGAACCCTGGAACCCTGAAACCTTGGAACCCCGGAACCCTGGAACCCTGGAACCCCGGAACCCTGGAACCCTGAAACCCTGGAACCTTGGAACCCTGCGACCGTGGAACCCTGAAACCTTGGAACCTTGGCACCCAGGAACCCTCAAGGATTCTGGAACCCTGCTACCTTGGAACCCTGGAACCTTGGAACCCTGCAACCCTGCACACCTGGCACCCTGCTGGGATCCTGGAACCCTGAAACCCTGGAACCCTTGGAACCCTTGGAACCCTTGGAACCCTTGGAACCCTTGGAACCCTGGAAACCTTGGAACCCTGAAACCGTGGGACCCTGGTACCCTGGAACCTTGGAACCCTTGAAACCCTAAAACTTCCAAACCCTAAACTCTATGCGCGCTGCGCGCGCTGCATGCAATAAAGTAAACCCTAAAACTTCCAAACCTTAAACCCTAATGCGCGGTGCGCGCGCTGTGTCCCAGAGAAGTAAACCCTAAAATTTCCAAACCCTAAACCGTCGTGTTATGCAACTTCCAAACCCTAAAGTTTAACCCGCGGTGTGCGCGCTGCATGCAATCAAATAAACCCTAAAACTTCCAAACCCTAAGCCCTAATGCGTGCTGTGCGCGCTGCGTGCCAGAGATAAACCCTAAAACCTTCAAACCCTAAACACTAATGCGCGCTGCGCGCGCTTTGTGCAATAGAAATAAACCCTAAAATCTTCAAACCTGAAACTCTCGTGTCATAGAGGTAAACCCTAAAATTCCCTAAACCCTAAACCCTAACGCGCGCTGCGCGCGCTGTGTGCCATAGAAGTACCCCTTAAAATCTCCAAACCCTAAACCATCGTGTCATGGAGGTTAACCCTAAAACTTCGAAACCCTAAAGTTCAACCCACGCTGTGCACGCTGCATGCAGCAAAATAAACTATAAAACTTCCAAACCCTAAACCCTAATGCGCGCTGCGCGCGCTGCGCGCACTGCGTGCCACACACATAAACCCTAAAACTTTCAAACTTTAGACCGTAACGCGTACTGCGCGCACAGCCTGCCATAGAGGTAAACGGTTAAACTTTCAAACGCTGCGTGCCATAGAGGCAAAGCCTAAAACTTTCAAACGCTAAACCGTAAAGCAGGCTGCGCGCGCTGCGTGCCATAGAGTGCTCCTCAAAAGTGATTACATGTCATACTTTAGTGGCATCCTCCAAATTCATTAGTCAGCCTTTGTTAATCCAGGGCCCATTTTACACATGTCATCTTCTTGGTCGTGGCGCCATTTCAGGATCACACTGATGACCTAAGCTTTGGCCTTAACTATTATGCAGGCAAGCGACATCAGCACGCTATGGTATTGGAAGACACAGGGTTTGCCTGTAGACCAGCCAAAAAATCGATTTTCCACACGGAACAATTGGATTTAACACATTTAGAATAGGAGCTCCGCCTGATTCAGATTTCATCACTTAAAAGGTACCCATGCCTGACTAGCCTTCATGACTTAAAGCGTAACCACACCCGACTTAAGGGAACCATGCCTGACTAGCCTTCATAATTAAGAGGTACCCACCCACGCCTGACTTAACAGAACCCATGCCTGACTAGCCTTCATAATTAAAAGGTACCCATGCCCCT